TAGTGTTGGTTAACGTTAAAATTTCATTAACTTTAGTAACAGGTTATTGTTCGTAATGAAAAGGTCAATCAGAGTAGAGGTGCTACTTGTTATGATAATAATAATCATAATAAAAATATTTATCCAGGGAGCCCACTCGCCTTGGCGGTTTTCAGTGGGGCCCTGCAAATCATAATAAAAATTAAAAACAAGAAAAGGGTTTTAAAAAAATTGATATTACAATATAAAACTAATTTTAAGATAATTTAACAGTTAGATAGGACATGTCATTTTTCATGTCATTGTCTAGGTTGTTCCAGTCCTTAGAGGCTGAAAGTTTGCTTGCCACACTTGGTACGCACGCGAGGAAGGTGTAAATCATTGCTTCCGCGAGTTTGATAAGAGTGAAAACTACTATTGCGTCTAATCTCAAATTTAAAATCAATTTCCCCCGACAGATATTTTTTGCGTCATAACACAAAGATGGAAGTGTCGTCTCTTTGAGAGGGGGTTTAGGTCCAAAGGATCTCGTGCCTCGGTTGATGAGCTTCTTGGTGGTAAATTAAGCAGGATCTTGGTTGCCTTGTTTTGAAGAACTTGCAGTCTCATAAGCGTGTCGTTATTTTTGTAACCCCACACTGTGTCACCATAGTCAAAACAGTGGGATGATTGAGCAATTGTATAGTGTTAGCTTAGCATGTAAAGGCAAAAGATGTCGTATTCTCTTTATCATTCCAATCCTTTGATTGATCTTATTCTAGTTATTCTAGTGGGTTGACTTATCACCTGCGTCAATTAGTACGCTTCGATAATATTAATGAGTCGTTTTGTGTACGAGTCGCTATAGGGTCTTGTAGGAGATTACAATTTATATCGCCAGTTATGTAGATATCCGAGTAACCTAATTCAGCCCGGTTTTAAAAGAGATTCAAAAACATCAAAATGCTCGACTGGCGAATGAGGTGGTCGATACCAACAAAGTACCAAAAATGGCTTGGAATTTGGTTTGTTAATTTCTAGCGCTAATAATTCTAAGGACTCATTTTCTAGATCCCAGAGTCGTCTATAATTTATGCAATTTCGGATGTAAGCGCATTCACCACCTCCACTTGGATTTGGGAGGTGTATTAAAGAATCCGAAATTGTATTGTCTAGCCTAGTCTCATTAACGGCCAGAATATCAAATGTTTGTTTTGTCATAAAGACTATTAGTTCGTGTATGTGCCTATACAGACTAGTAATATTGAGAGAACCAATTTTAAAACCTCCAAGATTATGAATTGTTTGAAATGACGTGGCTGGAATAGAGGAAACCGAATTCTCAATCTCCCTATTGGTTTAGATTCAATTACTATTTATGTGGTTTCTAAAATTGCCGGCCAACTTGTAGACCCCTGTCCGGTTAAAGGGGTAGGATGGGATGGGATGGGATGGGATGGGATAGGATGGGATAAGACCGCAAGGGTTTAGATTGGATATGGAATAGGATGGTATTGAGTATGACTAGCTTGTAATTACGTTAATTCTAGCTTATTATACCTGTCTCCAATGACCCTGATTTTCTCCTCTTGACTGGCGTGCAGGAGTGTATCTTTCTCTCTGATGTAGTCATCAACGCATCGCTCTTCGAACACTTTCATTTCAACATTGTAGTTTTCCCCTTCTGGTGAACAAAAACATCAAAAGATATCATAAAAATACAAGCCGCAAGTGCAAACTCAAAAGCCGAATCCTAAACAATTTTATTAGCTTTGTTTAGTCTGGGTTGGGGCGGAGGGGGAGGCTAGAGGGATAGGTGGAGGGTGACGCACACAAAATGCCCTCGCAGATTTTGAACATTGGACACTTTCTTCATACAAGCTGCATAAAACGTCTTGAACTTTTCTGAATTTTAGCTGGCAACCGTTTGGTATGACAGTTGACTGTTCACGTGACTTTATAACTCTATGGTAACCGAATTTGACAGCCACGTTAATTAACATTCATTTTTTCAACCGTTTCTGATTAAAAAAAACCCATTTAGTCTGCTGCCACAATGGCTACAATTTTACGCCAAAGTAATATTCTTTTGATTGATTTTTGGTTATTATCGAGTCAATTTACACGATTTTCAGAGGTTTGGAGAAATCGAGCTATCCAAGATGGCGGATACAAGATGGTGGCCTTCTTGGGACAATTTCTTGATGTCCATTGTGTATGACCATCACCCACTTTGCAGACCTTAAAGGAGACACTTTAGGACGAGTTTCCATTTCAAAGCTTAAGATTTCCATTTTTCATAACTAAACGGCCAGACAGCTAGGACAGTTTGTGAACTAGCGAACCATTTGAATCGACCGGTTCTGACAAATGGAGCGCGCCATTAGTTTCCTTCACCTCTTTACGTATGATAAAAATGTTAGAGTTTGCCCGTTTACAAATAAATTCTTACTTGGCTTGTCAGAGTTAAAACCGTCTTGGTCATTTTCGTCTCGCTGCCTTCGACAGTTTCTGAGCCAGCGATACAAGCCCCGCATGAAATACAAAACGTGATTAACGATGATGAAAGGTGGTACCAAGACAGGCCTCTGCTCATACTCCATAACTAGATAGTACCGCTGATACTTCCAAATCTGATTTGCATTGGCTTGCATCTTCTCGTATGTGTTACTGTGAAGAGAAGTGTTTTGATTATGTGAAACAACGTAAATGTAAAGGTAAGTCAAAACTTATTTTTGGTTTCCTTAATCGTGAGTAGAACAACGTTAACTGGTCCAAGTAGGATTTTCAGTTGTAAACTTTCTGTTATTCTTTCCAAGCGCTGTAAATTGTCAGTAGCTGGAATTAGCGCTAATCTTTCTAAGGCCCTCTTTTCTTGGAGGCAGAATGCCCCTGTTAACCAGGCTACCCGGCTTAAAGGGTTAAAACATAGCTCACCTTAACATGCAACTCGCCTAAGAGGGATAGTCAGTGGGCTATCTTTTAAGCAGCCGCTAAGTACAGCAAACAAGATGACGAACAAAAGAAACTTTTTAACGGCAAATTTAATTTTTTAATTGCTCGTTTCGCTAGCGGCCGCTTTTCAGTATGTAGGGTTGTTATTTTGCAATCTGCTAATTGAGATTAGTCACCAGAGGCAGTTGACGTCAAAAGCTGCCCTGGAATATGACGCTGCTTTCACGGTCTTCTCACCTCGGCTAGCCGGATTATCCCGGCACGAACCGTTTACATGGCAAAAAGCTATGTTGCCTAGAAGGGTGCCCTTGGCAAGTAGACAGGGTGCTCCGGGAAGGCGGGCTACCCTGTCTAGCATGTAAACGCTTCAATGCGTTTTCTAAAGAAACGAATGAAAAGTTGGCTTTCCCAGGGTATCTCGGTTAGCCGGGTAACTTGGTTTACCGGGGCACACCTCTCTCCATGTAAATATTACCTAACTCGACTCTTTTCGAAAGGAATTACTTTTCGTAATATATCTGACATAGGTGCCGCACATCTTGTAAGACTTAACCTAGCAAACAATTATATAGGTAGCACAAAAGCTTTTATGAATCCGAAATAAAAAATAGAACGTTTCGTGTTGTGTGCAAGAAAGTTCATAGTGTACTTATCCACTTACTTGAATATGGCGATAAGAAGATTTAAGAGCAGAATGTTAACGACCAGCAAATAAAACACCGTCAAGAACGACACTACAGTGTCTCCGAAAGAATCGTGTCTTGGTGTGCCAAAAACTGTCGTCGTGTTATCGACTGAAATGAAATTACCCGACCAGTTATCAGTGAGTCATAACAGGCCCCTTAACGGTGGCTGACAAAGGTTTCCAGCACATACTTTGATGGACTAATACTACCACCCTTTATGAGTTGATACGACAAAAGTAAAGCCACGTTAAAAATTTAATTGTTTTTAAAATCTCCTGGGACTGTGCTATCCGCATCAGCTTTTGGCTTCGGCACTGAGATGGCGCAAACTTCGGGCTTTATAATTCTCGCTATCATGCCCAACCTCATCCAATAATTGTTTAATGATGATATTTACCTCGACGTCTCTACCTTAATGAATACAGCGTTATCATCTAGCGCGTCGATCAAATCGAAACTCCGCTCCTCCCTCTCCTTACTCTGCTCCCGATGGCAGAAGTAGCAAAATATTTGTAACTCAGAAAATACGTTCTTCTGGAAAGTTTTGGCGGGAAATCGTGCGTTGCCTGCCTAACCCGTGACGTAGCACCAGGCGTCAGGTTCGGACTCTCGGGCCAGAACATTTTGCGTGTTGGCCTCGGTAGACTCTATCAGAAATAACTCTGACTATAAAAATAAGCCAAAAAACGGAATGTTTTGGTGTCATCTTGGCACCATTATCAAGTGAAGAATGCAACAGAAAAGATAACTTATACTAAAAGTAAAGGTATGAAATAGAAGAAATTTATTAAGACTAAAAACATAAATTATATAAACATACCTCACTGGATTGACACCAAACATTTATTTTTATATATTTTTTGCTCTTATTTAATTTCTTTTATTTCACACCTTTACTTTTAGTATAAATTATCTTTTCCGTTGCATTCTTCACTTGATAACAGTGCCAAGATGACACCGAAACGAAGTTCGGTTTTTTCGCTTATTTTTATAGTCAACTGTATTTCCAAATTTAATCTTATATGAAATAACTCCAAACCAAATAAAGGTTCAGTTTTAAATCTGGTTCACTTTACCTCTGAGTCTAGGGAAAAAGCATATATTAGTTATTTCTTACGTGAATAATACAATTCTTACTTATATCTGGCGCATCCATAAACAGCTCTCCATGAGCCTGGAAATACGGTCTGAAGAAGACACCAGACACCATGGACCAGGACGCTAGTTCTAACTGAGGGTAAAGGATAGCTTGCTGTGCGATTCCATAAGCCAAGAAGAAAACTACCATGATCAGTAAGAAATACACCAAGTCCACAGACTGAAAAATTAAAAGAAGAAAAAAATCGCTCTCTGGTCAGTTTTTGCTTGTTATAAGTGACGCTGGAAATTTCCGTGGTCGGTTTCTGGGGTGACGTTGCAAATTTCCATGGTCAGGTTCTGCTTGTTATAAGCGACTTTGGAAATTTCTATGGTCATTCTGCCTTGGAACGGAACGTTAGAAATGTGTTTCATATTATGTTACAGAAATACAATTTTTGTTGTAACCTTGCAAAATTCTATACAATTTGGCAAAATATTCTCTCTACTTGAGAAATATTGAATTCGGTAAAGTCCTTCTGGTTTTGGTAGATTTTCTACGCTCGTTGAACAAAATGATGTGAATTTGGTAAAAATATTGTCAAAAATGCTAGTTTTTGTCAATATTAAGCTATTTTAGAATACTACTTGAGGTTTTAGAACGTGTTTGATGATTTTAAAAAAAGAATTTTGGATACAAGGCAAAATGAATGAATGAATGAATGAATTTGAGTTTCGTGCTCCGCTAGTACATCAGAAATGAATACCTCGCTTTCTAAATTATAATCAAAACAAAGCATTGAACAGCGAGTACTTGTAAAGTCAATCAGCAGCCCCACACTGAGATTAATAATGTTAACATGTACTTATTGACTGAGCGGGAGGGCTGGACGAGCAGATATTTGGCTTGACGACTTAATGTGCAGATGATGAACAGGGATCATCTACAGTAATTAACTGGAAATAAACACTGTGAAAATTAATCAGTTGAACTGGTTAAGCTTAGTTTAGTTATTGCCCATTAATTAGTTAGCAAGGAATAAACCAAACGAAAAAAATGTGTTATTACCATCCTTCCGATCATGACCACATAAGGTCCCATATATTTACTGACAGAAAAAATGTGCAATAGTCGCATGATCCACAATACGATGTCAAAGCAGTACAACACGTGTCCTACACCACGTGTGGCCGGGTGAAGCCTGAGACCAAGACCAACAAAAAACAGCACCACTGCGATGCCGTCGAGGATATTCCACTTGTTAGAGGCCCATTCTTTGCATTTGTTTCCCAGCCTCGGTGATTTCGAGTGGATTATCTAGTGTCATAAGAGGAAACCGTGATTATGATTTCTCTCTTTTTCCATAAAGGTACTGCTATTTGGTTGAAATTCAATGAAATCTTAACATTCCTTTATAAAAGAAATTTAGCAATGTTTCCAGCTGAGATTGACATTAATTCTTTTTCATACCCAAGCAGAAAAAAAGGGGTCATTCAAGCTAACACTTACCCTTATAGTCGGTACACTGAATTTCAGAATGACTGAGTATAAACGATATTGCATTTTACCTGTCTAATCTCTTCTGTGAGCAAGGTGCAAACATAGATAATGAGCACGATCTCACTGATGGAGGGAATTTTGTCCTGACGAACAAGAATAACGTAGCTGAAGAGGGCCAAGAACACCATGTAACTAAACTGGAACAAAATGCAAAAACAGAAGTCACCTCTGCAATTGCTGCTATTTAAAATCATTAGACAGTTACGCAAATAACTTAATGTATAATATTGTCTTTATGGTTCGAAAATGGGCTGAATTATATGCATTTAATTATTTTATCTGAATTGAGAATTTCGGTTAGGAGCGAGCAAAACGATTTTATTTTTCATATCTGAGGAAGAGCTTGTTTAAATTCGCATTGGAAGAAATGGATAGATAGATAGATAGATAGATA